GCATGCAGAAAGGCATGAAGAAAAGTAAATGCAAATGAGGGGGCTGTCCAAAGTGTGTCATGGGGGTGACACATTTTGGACAGCGAGTTTAGATGAAACCTCAGAGGACTGTGATGGCTGGGGCCGTATGGAACTTGGAGCTTTATCCCTATCTTTATTCAAGAGAGTGGTCTATCAGTTTGAGAGCGTTATTTATTGATTTCACGTTCAGATTTTGTAATATTGTCTCTCAAAACCCTGCCCTCGCACTCAGATAGCCTCTGCTTGCGCTTAGATCGACTCTGTTTCTGCTCAAACTGTGTGCTCCCCCTCAGATACCATGTTGCTCACCCTCAGATGCCATGTTGCTTGCACAGATTTCCTGTTCGAGCTTCGGCTTTTCTCCTCACACTCAAACTGCTTCTGTGCACTCGCGGACTTTCTGCTCTCAGATTTCTGCCCTGCGATTGGATTTTTTTGTGTAACTACCCTGTCAAAATCCCCCAACCAATAGAAGGTTTACTGTTGACCAATGAAATGATCCCTGCCTCCTTGCGGGCGCGCTCGCTTTAGTTTTAGAGTGTCCCGTTTGACACACTTGTTTTTTCGTCCAGCGCACAGCTCCATGGACCTGCTTCTACTGCTTCTCCCTCCCGTGTTGTGTCAGATCCCGATTCCCCCTCAGGCTTTGTCTCTCGTACTGTTCCCACAGAGATTTGCCCCGTTTGAAAGGCGAAGGAAGCCCATATGTGGAAAGATGTCGCCTCCAAGATGTAGAATGTGTATTAAGAGAAACACACATTTCAGGACCGCTGATTTGTATCATCAGAACAGACATGTCCTGTGATTTTCAGCCTCCTTTCATATTTAATAGAGGGGTCTGAGAGGCTGAAAATCACACAATCACAAAGATACCTGGCAGTGATATTCTCAGCTGTCAGGATGTGCCTGCTGTAAAGGGTAAATATAATCATAGAAGGCTGAAAATCACAGGACATGTCTGTTCTGATTATACATGTCAGCAGTGTAAAGCGCAAACATGTGGGGGCCTCCTTTCATATTTAATAGAGGGGGGGGACCGTATCTAAAAGTACAGCTGTCAAGATGCCCCCCACCACAGGCCTTTGCCACCTTGGTCTCGAAAAAACTCAGGGAAAACACTGTGATTTGTGTGCACACACTGTTTGCAAATGAGGCCCAGTGTCTGCAGAAACAGCAGCATAGCTAGTGATGATAAGGAAAAAAATATTTGGGATGAAGGGAAAAGATTTTCAGTGTTACAGCTCATAAATTAAATATTATTGTCACTGCAAAAACAGACATGCATCCCATTACACTACTCTTATTTTGTGGTGCCAGCAAAATGTTTCCTTTAAGCTACCATGTGTTCTTTGCAAAATAGCCTCATTATAGCCCAAAACACCACAACGTCACACTAACAACAATATAATGTAATGTAATGTAATATAATGTAATGTTATGCTATATATGACTGTTTGCTCTGCTTTACCTTACACACTGACTCATTGAGGCCTTAGTAGACCAGCAGCTCAGTGTTCTGCTCAGTAAAATGACTGTTTTTGTCAGAGGAGTCTGGTGACTTTGATGTAACGGCTTCAGTTACCTGTCCGAAAAGACTGTCTGATGGCAAGGTAAAGTGATGAAAATATTTTTTTAAATATAGCATACACTTACACTGATTATAATTTTTTAGGTGGGCTTTTTTAGGTGGCTAAAAATTAACTAATTGAGGCAATGTCTTTGATTTTATCTACGGGACACTAGGATTATCTATCTGAAAGTTACTGTAAAAAAACACTGATTTGGTCTATATAAACTGGTTACTAGGTTAGTGTGTTAAAGAGGCAACAGACAGCATTTTTTCCTAAATATATCATTATGAAAATAATGTGGGTTGCACAGGGTAGTGGCCACAGTAAAATCAGACTATCAGTGTTTACATAGGTTACTTAGTGGCTTTGCAATCTTTATAATAAGCTTTTGCCATCGGGGGCGAAATTTTGCGGAAAAAATCTGCTTTACGGCAGGAAACACGTCATGTATTGCAAAACTGGTCGGTCAGCCAATCAGGGACTGGAGCTGGTCCTTACGAGGAGTTGGGCATGAGATAGTTGAGTCATGAGCACAATGGCAGATGGACAAAGCTTGGAAACAAGTGAAAACGGCCTAGCGAAAGAAAACAAGCTCCTCTGTCAGGCGTTCAAGAGATGGAGGGAGTTCCCTGACCAAAGAGGCTTCAAAACCGATGTCCAGCTAGCTTTCTTTCTAATGTATCAGTAAGTAACACGGCTAAATGTTAGCTAGACGAGAGAGGACTGTACTGTACTGGCTGGTAGTTAATTCCTAGCTGGCCAGCATTGCAAATCGCCGCAACCAGGGACCAGGTAGCGAGTGTTGGTTGGCTGACATCCTCATTGCCATTCTATGGCAGCCCTCGGACAGTGATAGCCCCCCCCTTCCTTCTGTTCTCTTCTCACTGAGGCAGCTATCGACGGACATCGCTCAACTAAGTTACACCCAGCTAAGTGAACACTGGACTTTTCACTGCAACGGCCTTAGACTGATGAGCATCAAAATCAGTTAACGTTAGTCCACACAGCTCTCCCAAGCTGGCCTGGAGAGCAGGGAGATCATGTCGGTCACTGGCCATAAATGAGAGGGCAGCCTTCGCAGCTACTGGGCACCCAGCATCTCCAACCGGGAGAAGTGGAGTAAAATCCTCTCCTCCGCTCCCGTTTGTCTGGTGAATGCCTCTCCTCTGTCAATACACTCTGCCAGCAATTTAATAATATTGATGCCAGTTGTAACATTTGAATGTTTTAGTAGTAAGCCATGTTCTAAGCGGGATAATGTATAGTGAGCCGGTGACTGTTGAAAAATAACTCCGCTGCGCATCGGGGTTCCGTTCTTCTTTTCTTCGTTTTTTCTTCAGATAAATCTGGTAATTGTTGCTCGGTCTCTTTACTCATTTATTTAGTATAGTGTCCACACTTTCTCATTCTACATATACATAGAGGCGTACTGGTGGCTTTACAGGCTACATTTTATTGATTATCTCTGATCCCCACGGTCAATTTTGTCGTTGTGACAGTGCGAGCAACACCGCTGAAGCTAGGTGATGCCAATCTAAAAAAAAAAACAAATCCTATCTGTTGCCTCTTTAAGTCATTTAGTTAATTTAAATAGAAAGTCATATTAGATCAAGATCTTTTTTCAATAGAGCCCTCAGTACAAGAAAAACTGTATAAAACAGACACAATTTAAGCACTATGCATTCATGTTTTTGTCTTTAAATGCAGATGAGAGATTATAATTCCAAGCATAGTATTTAAAAGCAGTTAAAAGATAAGCATGTAATATATAAGATGTTATCACCTAGATAAAATAGTTCATCATAATGTAGGTTTGGAGTCATTATATTTTTATGTATAATAAATAGAACCGAGTTCTTCCTGAGCGGTTGTTAAAAATCTTTAAATTGACTATTCAACTAAACCTAGAAATGACGTTTTTTTTTTTTTTTAGGTAAACACTTTGTCAGCAAGCTCAAATACGATTAATAGAAAAGTGTAGCACAATGTTAATGATTATCCAGGATACTGAGAGTGTAATAAACAAATTATGAATGTCGCTGGCATACCAAGATAATCTTCAAACCATATTACCTTAACCTGGTTAGTCTAAAAAGTGACTTATTAAGTTAGTGCAAACAGTGTACTTTACATTGTTAATATTTAAACAATATAAAGGCCAAAGTTAACCTCCTCCTTGGTACACACTGCACATTCAGATCAGACACATATGTATTTAGTATGGCATATGTAGCTTATATTTTGCAGCTTTTTGCTTTTTTGAACACAGTATTCTGTACAGCCCAACATGTTGTACTTCTTTCACTGTGCTGTTGCCTTTATCATGGAATCCCTTTTCTTATTGAAAATTAGCAAGCCAACATTTCTAAGTTCTTTCTTTGTTGAGAGCCCTCACTTTACCATCACAGGACGATACCAAAAGGGCATCTTGCACAGAATAAACACAAATGCAGACAATGTATTTGATCAAGTTCTGTGTCTAGCTCATGTTCTCAAGCCTAGTTTTGATTTCACCGTTTACATAGTCAACAATTCTGTCCTGTATAAGAGAGATATACCTGTAAATCTACAGGTAGTAGCCCTTGCAATTATTTGCATAAATCACTGAAATCAACAGGCCTATATTTTGGACAGGCATCTATATGAGATAGGCCTTTAAATCCTTTCACACAATACTGTTGCTCATCAAAGATGGGAAATATTACCAAATTGTTTATTTAAACTTGTATAAATATACTGTAAAAATTAGGCTTCAGATAACATGTTAATCTTGAATCATGCATTTGATCTAGCTCTGACAGACAGCGCATCAGAGAGAGAGAGAGAGAGAAAGAGAAAATTACAGCACTCGAGGATTACGGCATCCACCGTACTGACAACACTTCACAAGACCACTTTATCCTGTTAAAACAATACTCATAACTTGGATTAATTTTTATGAAAAGCCCTTTTGATTCTTTTGATCCGAGGACCCGTATGGACTAAAGGAATAATGAACACATAATTTGAGGTAGCCAACAACCCAGATTTAGACATCTGGGGTCCGTTTCACAAAGCAGGTTTAGTGAAAACTCAGAGTCTGTTAACCCTGAAATGAGGGAAACTCTGAGTTTTCCGTTTCAAAAAGGGAGGTAACTCAAACCAGAGAAAGAGGGGTAACTCTAGCCTGTTTCAGAGAGAGAGGTAACTTAAGCTCTCGGTCAGTTACCGTAGTAACAGACTCTATGAACCTAACCTGGTCGGGACCAGGTTTTTCTCAATGAACCTCGAGTTTCTCTCTGTCTCCGCCCTCTTTCAGAACCACACACTCCATTTGATTTCCTCATTCATTCAGTCAGTCAGCGGGCGAGTTTTGGCGTAGCCTAGTTCTGCCGTCTGTCCTTTAAAAAAATCATTAAAAAAACGACCATGGCATGCCCTTTTGATAACGATCCAGTGGATGAAGGTGCAGCATTACTGCGCAGAGAATTAAATATTCGTCGGGAGATGGTTATCAGACCGCGCATAGATGTTCTAGCATTTCCAGACAATTATCTTTTTGAGCGGTACCGTTTCACGTCACAGTCCATCATCTACATACACAACCTAATCCGTCCTTACATTTGCAACATTACCAGTCGTAGTCATGCTCTCACATCCCAGCAGATATTGTGTGTTGCCCTGCGTTTCTTTGAAAATGGAAGTTTTTTGTACAATGTCGGAGATGCAGAGCACTTGAGTAAGGCAACTGTATGCAGGGCGGTCAGAAAAGTGTGCCTCGCCCTGAAATGGCTTTTACCCATCTTTGTCGTTTTCCCTGGACATAAACCTGTCAGAGCCATCAAGGAGGAGTTCCACAGGATTGCAGGTGAATGATGTAGAGATCTGTTACATTAATTTTAAATTTATTCTGTTAATGACATAATGACAGTGCTGCAACCTCAGACTGGGATTATTAATTTTAATTTCTTTTAGGATTTCCCAGTGTGATTGGCTGCATAGATGGCACACACATTCCCATCACGGCTCCCTCACATAATGAAGCCGATTATGTGAATAGGAAGTCCATTCACAGCATAAATGTGCAGGTACAGGTAGGCTAGATTGACTACGGTTTCAAAATGTTAAAGCCTGCATCATAGTTCAACTAACATCCGGCATTCTCTGCACTGTCAAGATCATATGTGATGCAGCCCACATCATTTCCAATGTGGAGGCCAAGTGGCCTGGGTCTGTTCATGACTCGAGGATATATCGCGAGTCTAAACAGACTGCAACGTGGTAAGCAGCCTAAAGATTTGCACAATATAATTCACTTGTCTCCCTCCTTTAATACACTCTAATGTAACCACTATACATTACAGGAGAGTTTGATGGCCTTCTGCTGGGTGACAGGGGTTACCCATGCCAACCTAGGCTGCTGACCCCTTACCCTGACCCTGAACCAGGCCCCCAACAGAACTTCAACCGGGCTCACTGCAGGACGAGAGCCCGGGTGGAGATGACCATAGGCCTACTGAAAGCCCGTTTCCAGTGCCTACGTCACCTCAGGGTGACCCCTGAGAGGGCCTGTGATATTATTGTGGCATGTGTTGTTCTTCATAATATTGCCACTATTAGAGGAGAGCAACACCCTGCCCTACAAATTGAAGACCCTGATGATGACCCCATCCACCTGCCAGCTATCCAGGA